TTTTCCTTGTCTTTTCATCTCCAGAGTAATATATCATATGGTCATCAGACTCAAAATGCCCCATGCCAGTCCATCTCATCTCTCCAATACCTAATATGTCAATATTTATGCGTTCCATTTCTTTCTTAACAATTTCTAATTTTCCTTCATTCATGGTTCTCACATTCCCAATACCAAAGCTTTTTTACAAAAACACGTACATATAACATTCTTAGGGAGCTCTGGTGGCTTACTGGGAAGGCATTCTACTGCCAACCCAATGGTACATAGTTCGAATGGTCTAGAAAGCTGGGCAATCTACCCCTCTGTAATTTACTACTGCCTCTGAAAACCCAGAGATCACAGTGCTCAACAAGGTAAATTTCTAGGATTCTTATACAAGAAACCAAATGATTGGTAAAAAAAAAGAAAAACAAAACTTAAGGAAATTATTGTTGTTGTTATTGTTGTTGCGGACTGTTGAGTTGGAACCAATTCACAGCTAACCCCTCAAAGGCAGTTAATATCATGGGAGATTTCCCATCCTTCTCCTGCACAGCAGCTGGTGGATTCAAATCTTGCACCTTTGGGAATGCAGTGCAACTTCTCACCATTAAAGATCCCTCAAATAGGTGTAGTACGTGGAGTGAAAGCAAAAGCAAAAATAAAAAAGACCTACCAAACCAAAATGTGAGAGACATTTTGTTAAAAATATTTGCAAAAAGCAATTATCTTTATCACGAAAAAATGTGATGTGGCTGTATGTAAATTAATCTTTGTTCTTCCATTTTATTAGAAATGGGTTCGTTGAAAGCTTACTGAACATTTAGTAATATGTACCAGTTATTATTCTAGGCACTTCATATATTGGAGTTAATTCAGAGAACTGTCTCAAAAAGAAAAAGTAACTTCAACTTTATTAAACAGCAATTTAACACGTTGCCACAAACGTGTTTCTAAGCACGGTCGTCAATTTAAAAGTGTGTGGCAGCATATTAACAGAATTTTATCTTTTTGAGAATTATCTCTGTATTTTAGGAAGGAACATTTTCTGATCGGATTATGTGACTAATTTTGTTATATACAGCTCTGTATTAAATCCACCTTAATCAGACTCATAGCATTGGAAGTCTCAGTATTTTATAAGATTTTTAAAAGGTCCAGTGGATTTGGAAAAATATAGTTTAAGGCTCAAGTGATGTGCTAATTATACATACATGTCATACATTTTTACTTGTTTTATTCCACTGAAATTCAGTGTGTTCTGATATTGTTTAGTAGGCCAATGAGGCATGAAGGGGGGTGGCAGTGAATCACCCAAAATGTGTATACAGAAATAAGACAACATTCATACAATAAAATTCAAACTAACAGAATAAAATTTATGCCATTGTTCTATACATTAATGTGACCAAGGGTGCACAGAGACCCCATTTTAAATGTTCCAACTGAAAATAATCACCACCAAAATACAACAAAGGATTATTTAAAAATTAATTTAATAGTTGGCTAGAGCATCATTACATATATAATTATCAAACAATAGTCCTTAATTTCCAAAAAGTTCCTCTTGAAAATCACAGAATCAGAAAGCATAAACTTTAAAACAAGTTCTCTGAATATTTACAATGCAGTATAAACATTATAGAAGACCATGGGTATTAAATTGTCAGGATGGAGCTAATCAGCAAGGCGTATTTATTGCATATATAACTCACATATATGGGATTTAAAATAGAATGACAAACTACTAAAATTCAAATGCATGTATCTGTAAGCTGGCCAGGGAGTAAAATCAAGAATGAGATGGGAGGTCAGCTTCAAACCATGCAGTTAAGGTGTGGATTTGTTATTTTTAAAAATTAAACTGCTATAATCCACCTGAACTGTTTTGCATATATTACTTAGAGTTCAAAATAATCTACATTTATACTGACTCAGAAGTAAGTTTCTCATTCACCCAATGAGTTAGTTCACAACTCAACTCTCAATTTTAAGGCAGCACAGCTACTGTGAGAGCAACTGCTAACTAAATGATGATCCACATTTAGTCACTTGCCAGCCCTTTTGTTGCACTGTGTAGTCATTACCCCAAGATGATCTACTACCCAAATAGTTTACTGCTGTTAAAAGGCTTAATCTGTAGAAAAACACCACAAATTTCCAGTGTGAAAGTAACTCCATGGTGGTATAAATACATATATGCATAATTACACAATTTACACTGCACACATCGTTTACAGAGGACAATTAACTCGGGCCTAATCTGAATGACCATACAAAATACTTCTGTAAACAAAGTATTACAGGCAGTAAGGGAAACATTCATTGACTCCTAGAAATAATCTGAATTCCTTTCAATTTGAAGAAATCACATGTAAGGACACAGTATTTAATATAATAATACTCTGTATTAAAACAATCAGTATTTTACATATTAAGAAACTTTACATATGTACAAAATTTATACATTAGGAATGGTATTCAAGCAAGTAACATGCTTTACAGTCACACAGATCTACTTTCCTTCAATCAAGGACTTAAACTCTTTCACATTGTGATCACTTGCAACAGTCATTGCATGATCCAGAGCACGAACACTGGCAAGGAGTTTTATTATTTGCTTTATGTTTTCCCTAAAAAAAAAAAAAAAAGAATGTAGTAGCATGTAATCAATACAAAAGGCTTTAAGAGAATTATTTCAATGCTATTAACTTTATGGCTATTTAAAATATTTTGTAATTATTTCTTTCTAATATAGATTTTCCCCCCCCAAATGGAATAAAATATGGTAATAAAGTGGAGCATGCTAAAAGATGGTGCAATTATAAAATGAAACTTTGCATAAGTTTAAGTAACTGGCTCAGAATTGAGGATTCATTTAAAAACAATCAACAAAAACATTTCAACTCATTAGTTTTCATAAGAAAGAAACCATACTGTTTCCATAAAACCTTAAATCCTGTCTCCAATTCCATCCCAGTGTCCCAGATCCTCTTTAACAAATAATTGGGACACCAATATTGTTTGTTAACTTTACCATCAACCCATCAAAATGTAGCATTATTTCCACTTCCCTGAAGTCTCTAATAAAGTCTATGTTTTCCTTTATCATTATACCTTTAAGCCAATGTGCTTATTAACTTATGACATGATCACCACATTTTAATAATACACAAACTTTCAAAATGAGAATTATTTTCATTATATTCAAAACCCAGTGCCACTGAATTAATTTTGACTCACAGTATACCTATAGGAGAGAGAACTGTCCCACGGGTTATCCAATCTGTCTTTATAGAAACAAACTGTCAGGTCTTTCTCCTGAGGGAGTGGCTGGTGGATCTGAACCACCAATCAACTGGTTCAGTCTGTTTTAGTAAATGCCACCAGGGATCCATTCAAACTGTACTAATTATTATTATTTTAAAGTACTTTTTAGATGTCAAATTTACCCCAAAATTAGATAAACACTCACACAGAAAGAATAAAGGTTCATTCCTTCAACACCTGACAGAATGATAAATGACGTACTCTCAAGTTATCACAAGTGCTCATGACACAAAGAAAAACAAAAGGGAGCATAAATACCCATATTAGGACATGTATTTCAATTTTCTTTGGGTTTAAGTAACTTTATCACCCCCAGAATTTCTATTTGTATAATGAACCTCCAAGATCAAGGCATCCAAACAGCTTCATACATTAATTCTTTAAGGAAGAAGACACAGGAAAAAGGGGCGTATTAATTCTTCCTAGATTTTTCTGTTCTTAGCAGAAGTCTTAATGCTTCCATTAAAAAAAAAAGACACACAGAAGATTTAAAACCGCAGTAAAGAACTACATTTTGGTAGGATTGCTAATACTAAGAAAACATACAATTTAAAATATACGTAAGTCTCTACTTAAACATTTTAGTCATATCAAATCAATCTAAGAAAAGAAACTCTAGATCACTCTCATGAAGTAATTACCTTGCATTTCTTTTTTCCACATCAGAGCAGCCAATACTATTCCTATAAATTGTATCCGCTAAGTGGACAAGGTATCGGCAAAAGTTTTCTAACTGAGAAATAGTTTTTTCTCCTTTCAAATTAATGAACCACTGTTTAGGGAAACAATTGATCACCTATAAAGAAAAAAGTAAGATAGTTAAAATATAATAAATGAAAGTGTGTAAAAGTTGAATGTATAAAATGATCATCATGTATTTAACTGGAAGATCTGAAAGTAATGAACAGATCCATTTTCTACATCTGAATTCGTACATTAACTATATGAAAATACCTGACTTTATATTCTAATAGGCAGGTCAAGTAATCTAAACCAAAAGCTAATTTGTCCAATATTAATTACAAACTTAAAATTGAGAATCCCTACTAAGTTCTAGATGATGAACTACATGATGAAGCAGGTGCATTTTGTGCCAGAAATTTTCCAAAAATGAGGAGTATTTTACAAACAACTTAAAAGTGTCAAGAAAGTCAAGGAAAGACTGAAGAACTCTTCAAAATTCAAGATTACAGAGACATTTAAGACAACTAAGTGCAATGCATGACTCAAGATTGGATTCTGCCAGGGACAAATATAGCTGAGATAATGTATAAAACGCTGAGGATCAGATTACAGTAATATATCCAAGATAGTGTTCTGATGTTGATAGTCACATTGTTAGCAAGTATAAGCATGGGGAAGAAATAACTATTCTCATGGAGAATACTCAGGAAAGCATTTCAAGTTAGTGAGCCATCATGTCACAGAGATTAATCTGACATAATTCAAGGGGAAAAAATTCTTTATCTTGAACTTGCAAATTTTAATTTTGTGAGGGCTTCTAATATCATTTTAAAATTACTAAGTCAGGTAACATTTGTAGACAAAGTAGAAAATAAAACATAATAAAAATAATCTAAGAAAATTATTTTTTTAAATGAGAGAAGAAATCATTTGTTTAGCAATACACAAAGTAAATGACAGACCTAAAATTGACTCAACTCCTTTGACTCTATCTCATTTAACTATAATCAAATGGTTACATTGAAATAAAAAAAAGTATTTATTGGATCCTACAAATATGCCAATATAGTCAGGTATATATAAATAGAACAAAAACATTTGTTTAAAAATGCTATAGGATTTAGAATTAAGAAAACTGATGGTTAGCCTTATACCAACTCTACTAGATTCAATAATCTTGAATTCCTCTTCAAATAACTAAAAAAAATTAATTAATTTT